TATACATTCCTTCCAAAAATCACGTGACATTAATTAAATAGATATATTATTAATTAAATAAATTAAAATCGCGATATCTTACAATTTATTGTCATAGTAACGTACAAGTCTCAATTCTAGAACGTCACAATCACAAATCATAAATTAGTTCACAACTTATTTATGTCACAATTTATCAAAATTAATTGAAGCTAACTTATTTTTTGATCATATCACATATTTTATAGGTCACAATTTATTTTACGGTCACAAATTATTAAATTAATTTGTCACGCGTTATTTCTCAATCACAATTTATCAAATTAATTAATCACAACTTATTTTACGGTCACAAATGATCAGATTATTTGGTTGTAAATTATTTGTCTATCATAAATTATCAAATTAATTGATCACAACTTATTTTACGATCACAAATTATCAAAGTAAATTATTCATAACTTATTTATGTGTCACAATTACAAATTTAGTCATAAATCACAAATTACTTATTTAGTCACAATTTATTCATTTTATTGATCACAATGACGTAATAATTGATCACAATCGCTCTTCATCCAACCCATTCCGCCCCACCCCACAACACCTTTACCGTCAATTGCCCGACGTCGGCCGACCACACACATCGTCAACAACAACCCCACACCGAAAAACTCAAATGTCTCGCACCATCGGCAACCCACTTTCAATCACATCGGCTACTCTCAAGCTGACATCACCCGCCCATTATCCTACCCAACGACCACAGATCCATCATTCAACAACCCAAATGGCCATCAACTACAACACATCGCCTCCCACAGATCCTACTACTACATAGATCCTACCACTACACATGCCATTTGTTAACATCCAACCTAGCAATTTAATTAAGTTGGGTTATTATATGCACTGGATCATGATCCATTGAGGTCAAACCTATTAGGTCAGCTCGGAAGAACGATTGCTGAGGTTTGACAGAACATAATGATTGCAGAATCTTTATACACTGGCGTAATCTTCAATTAATTAATGACATTCAGAAATGATTACTCCAGCACCCACCAAACCCACCAATCGTATGTTGT